GCTCCACAGCATCAGTTACCATGGAGACCTAGCTCCACAGCATCAGTTACCATGGAGACCTAGCTCCACAGCATCAGTTACCATGGAGACCTAGCAGGTTAAAAGAGAGCTACCTTTATGACACTGAAAACTCTGACTTTAGGCTCAACAAACCTGCTGACCCACTGATCTGCAGCCCTCTGCTTGACATCCAACCAGCTACATACCTGGCTGTTGTTGGACAATGCTGACATTCAGCTTTTCTTTGTCGGGGCTCCAGACTAACGTGTTCACTGGTGCGACCAACCTGTCGCAGGTGAAACACATCACTTGCTGCACATTTGCTTGTCGATAGACTCAAATGTACCGGAGAGTAAAACAGGGTGTTTAAATGTCAGATTTGTCCAACATGAAACCAAGTGATCCTATTGTTCTCTGTGAGCAGATAAAACAACACATGTAGGTGGCGCCATGCTTTTTTTTTTTTCTTTTTTTACAAGCAGGGTGCATTTTTAAATATAATAATATATATATATAATAATAAATACGGCAGTCGATCACGTTCCAATAGAGATGGGAAGCTAAAATCCTGACTTTAATCATTTAATTTTGCGGTCCTACTCCTGTCATTGATTCCCTTTACCTGTTCAGTCAGCATCCTCCTGCCTCCACCTGCTCTCTGATCAGTCCTCTCCGTCTCCACCAGCCGCCTCCTCTGTCCTCATTTTGTTTTTAAAATGATCAGCCACCAACCACCTAATCTTTGGAACACACAGCAGCTAAACGGCTTATTTTATGCCTCAGACAGAGAATGAAAGCACTAGCACTGTGGCTAACGCAGTAGCTGTAGCCGACACCACACCAGCACCACAACAGCTTCATGATCATCATTTACTTCAACAACTTTTAATTCACACACTCTCAATAAAAGGTCTGGAGCCCTGTTTGTCCATCGTTATTAAAACCACAGAGTTCCCAAACAGCAGCAGGAAGAAAAGTGGAGTTTCAACGAGTGCACACTGAAGCGTATGTTTGTGTGTCCTCAGCTGAAGACGTCTCTGGGGAAAGGACGGGCCTTCATCCGCTACTCCCTGGTTCACCAGCGTCTGGCCGACACGCTGCAGCAGTGCCTCATAAACCAGAAGGTCACCAGGTCAGAGACGGACACACGTGCATTCAAACACATTTGTTGTCGTGAACTTGGACAGATGTTTGTTGTTTTTGTGCTCCAGTGAGTTGCTGTACCGCTTGTTGGTGTTTGTTCTCAGGAAGCGTGACTCTCCCTTCCTGATTTATGTTCTGTTTTTATAGAGAAGCCACATAGTTAGCCGTAGGTACCCGCAGACACCGCTCACTTCCTGTCCTCCATCAAACCAAATGTCAATTCTATTTTCGCCCTGTTGGACCTTTATTGTTGTTTGGGGCCACAGTAAAAGACGTTCAGTCACACAGCGCTGGCCTAAGCTGTGTTTCTTAATCGCAAAGTGTGAGTGTGAGAGGAAGAGGTCACATGTCTTTAGAGTTGTAGTTCGACATGCCAGTTTCCCACATGTGTGCTCTTAGCTGATTGCAGAAGTGGAAGAGGTCGAGGCTTTGCCCAACTTTTACAGGAATTGGCGTGGTGTCGTGAACTCTCAGGAAAGCAGAAGTGTAGCGGCTGTGCGCTGCTGATATTTGGCGCTTCACAGCAGCCGTTGGAGTGATGGAGTGATGTCTCAATCAAGTTATTGGCCCTCCAATCTGAGATATCTAATATTGAATCTGATACCGTTTTCCAAAAATAATACACTCTCCAAGTACATTAAGGGTATTTAAATCCGTCCGTTGTGTGTGCTCGATAACGGCAGTGGGCTTAATGTACAGTCTAGTGTAAAGATGGTCGGGTGGAGAGTCGCTCCACGACCTCCAGAAGACGACAGAGAACATGTCAGAGAACATGCTGTAGAGTTCCTGCAGTCACAGGCTGCACCACTGCTTCCTGTTTAACACTGTAGTGACCTGAAGAGGCGTTCGGCGAGCAACAGGACTTCTGTGCCAGTTAGCCGGGTCTGGCCAGAGCTCATGTGTTTGAGGTGGACGGTGCTCTCTTTGTGTTGTTTATGGATGACGCTGAACATTACTGATTACAAACACTGTTAAATATTTGCCCGCTGCCACGACACCAGCATGACGTAAACCATGGATCAGGACTCTGGTTCCTGCTGATATCAAATGCATCGCTCTGATGGTGGGTCGGGATATCAGGAGCTAAATAGTTTTAAAACTTCTTCATTTATTTGTGGGCGACGCTGAAGGGAGCTACGCTAGCTGTTTCCCCCGTACATCCATTTATACTTTGCAGACACGACCAGAGCACAGCTTGGGGCTAAAATGTTGAACCCTTACCTTGATTATTTCCTTTCAGCTTCACGTACCATCTGTGATCAAATGCGTCTGGAGACGTAGCCAATGACCACATCACCTCAGAGATGCCTCGTTTCTAGTCTGTCCGGCTACTGCAGGGTGTCCTCCATGTTTGCTTGTTTTGCTGTTTTCTGTTGAGGGTAGCTCAAGAGTTCTAGAAATGACCAGAATTAATCGGACGTTTCGTTGCATTGGAGGTAATAAATGAACGCGTGTCCCTGGCTCTGCTGTTTGTTTGTGTTCTTCCGATGCAGTGACTGGTACTACGCCCGGAGTCCGTTCCTCAAGTCTCACCTCACCGCTGACATAATCAACCACCTCTATGAGCTCAACCAGCTCCAGTTCGACGTGGCGGCGAGAGGTTACGACCTCGACGCGGATTGGCCAACGTTTGCGAGGTAAACCGACAGCTGGCTGCAGTCACCGGTTCTCACAACTGTGGGCTTTTGAAACTTGATTCTGAATGTTTTGATGAAACATCTGATGCTTGGAAAAAAAGGAACGAGAGCAAAAAAAGTCCTGAAAAAGATCAGAGAAAGGTCAGAGCAGGCATGAACCAGCTGAAGGCCACGATGTACAACTGGACTGTAAGCAAGGAGCCGAGTGTTTCGCAACCTGAAGAAACCTCTAATTATCTTATCGCCCTGCACAGTCACACGTCTGCTTCATTTACTTTTTGGTTGAGTGTGTATGACCGCTGATTGTTGTTCCTCAAATCAGCGTGTTTGTCAAACGGTTGCACAATCTACAGCTTTTAGCACTTTATGAGACCAGCTGTCTATCGTGTTAATCTCTGTACATATACATATACATACATATACATACATATATATATATATATATACCATCCAGCATGATGAAGGGCTTTAGCGCCACTCAGCTCTCCACGTTTCACCTTTTTAAACAGGAATGAGGAATTTAAATTACTATAATTTGACGTCTTAATCAATAAATAATAATGAGCTTTACTATTTTTTTTCTATTTCTTTGTAGAACAGTAAAGTAGAAGATTCCTGGATAACAATAATAAGAATATTTTAGCATTAAAAGCATCATTCTGTGTATTAACCATTAGAGAGACATGAGAGATGATTAATTTAGGGCATAAACCTGACGCTGGGTGGAGGTTTGACACATTTGTTAAGCACTATATCCCCCATCACTTCTTTGTTATCTATTTATTAATAGTTTAATAAATTAGGTTGTTTAATTATATCCATTCATGAAGCTATAGTAAAAAAAATAAAAAATAAAAAAATGGTTGATTTAATTTGAAGTGTTTCTTTTGAAGGCTGTTTTGCAGCAGACAGTAAACTCCTGGACTTTGTGTAGCTTCCTGCCTCGGGCCAAATTTGTTCTGCTTGTCGGTACTCACAAGTGACTTGAATGCACACACACACACTCACTCACACACGCACACACACACACACTCACACACACACAGACACACAGACACACAGACACACAG